CCTAGCAATTAGAGATGTCTAAAAATATTGTTGTTATTGTTGTTTTTCTAAACTGTATTAGAGAAAGAGAAAGATAAAAGACTACATGAGAACAGCATTACTGGGAGGTTGGGAGATCGGAAAATGATTACTAACAACAGTGAAAATGCAGATTGGGACACTTTCCATTTAGTCTCTCTTATTTGTCAAGGAAAATGACTTTTGGCCTAAAAATGACAGAAAAGAAATAGCTAATAATGAGTTGACATCTGAAAGAAGTAAGAAAATACTAAGAGAGCACTTGGTTGTCCCACATGTGTCCTAGGTTAAATAATTACATTCTGGGGTACTGAAAGAGCTCACAAATGTGATGGCTTCACCACTTCAGTGAGAAAAATCATGAAGAACAGAGAAGACATCTGGGGATCAGAGAGAAGTAAATGTCATGATTTTCCAAAAGGGGAAGAGAGTGAACATAAGGCATAAGATGGTGAGCTTTATTTTACTTCCTTGCAAACTTCTAAAATAGATTATTAAAGGGATCCTTAATTATTACCTAGAAAAAAAAACTACCCATCACAGATTCATCAAGCAAGTTATTTCAGATCAAACTTATTTCAAACTGTGGTAGATCAGGGGAATGTTGTAGAGAGTTTACTTGGATTTTAACAAAGCCTTTGATAGAGTATTTCACACTAATTTTGTGGGAAGGATGAAGATATGTGGAATGAATGATGGTATAATTACATGATTTGAGAAGTGGTTGAGAATATCTTCTAAGAGTAGATTCTGTGAATGGACTGACACAAACATTCATCATTAATGGTTTAATGACAACTTAGAAGGGCATCTTCTTTTGAGTACCCCAAGGATCTGTGATTGGTTTTGCGCTATTTAATACTTTTGTCAGAGACTTGGATACAGGCACAGGTGGTATGCTCTTCAGATTTGCAGATGACAATCAATCAGTCAGTCATTTAACATTTATTATGCACCTACTATTTTCTAAACACTGTGCTAAGTATTAGGGATACAAAAAACCACAAAAGACAGTCTCAGCTTTCAATGAGCTCACAGTCTAATGGGAGAGATATTATGCAAACAACTATATACAGCAATCAATATATGGGATAACTCAACAAAAGGAAAGCCCTAGAATTAAGGGAGATCAAGAAAGGCTTCTTGTAGAAGGTGAGATTTTATTTGGGATTGAAGGAAAACAATGAAACTAGGACGTATAGCTAGCACAATGGGTGACAGAGTAATGATCTAAAATAATCTTGACAGGCTAGAAATGTTTTATGTTTTATTATATTTTCACTGATTTAATTAAATATTTCCTAATTATATTTAAACATTTTACATTAATTTAAAAAATTGAGTTTTGAATTCTCTCCCGCCCCCCATCCTTCTTCCACTCATTGACAAGGCAAGCAGTATGATATTAATTATACATATGAAATCATGCAAAACATATTTTGACATTAGCCATGTTGCAAAAAAAAACCAAAAAAAGCAAGAAAAATAAAGAAAGTAAACCAATATGCTTCCATCTGTACTCAGAGTTCTTCAGTTCTCTTTCTGGAGGATCAAATGAGATAATATTTCTAAAGCTCTTAGCATAGGGCATAGCACACAGTAAGTTATATAAGTACTTATTCCCTTCCCGTCCCTTCTGAAATATGGAAGTGCTAGAACTCTATACTCTGCCCATTTTGAAGCACATCTGGACTATTTTGTTCAATTCTGGGTAGTACAATTCAGGAAAAATATTGAAAAAACTGGAGAGTATCCAGAGGAGGGTAAAAGTGATGAAGAAGGGCCTTGCTATGTTATATATGAAGATTCTTTAAAGGAACTGAGAATGATAACATTGTGAAAAGAATACTCAAGTGTAGGGGTGTGTGTGAACTATATTCAAGTATTTTAAGAGCTGGTATGTGAAAGAGGAATTAAATTTATTCTATATTGTACCAGAGGACAAAGCCAGGAGCAATAGGAGAAACTGGCAAAAAGGACAAATTTAGGCTTGATTTCAGGAAAAAAAAAACACTTCCTAATAATTAGAGCCATCCAAAAGTGAAATTGGGTGGTAATGGATTCCTCTTCATTAGAGGTTTTTAAGCCTAGGTTGGATGACTGCTACTTAGTGTATTATGAATCATATTTGTTTTACATAGGCTGATATAGTTTCTCTTTAGGAAGGCAAGGAGGTCATCTTAAGGACTTGGTTACTCTAGAGGACTAAGGTTATTAAAAACTCAACCTATGTGAGACTAGTACTCTGGAGATTCTTACTGACCTGAAGAACATTTTTCTGATCCAATATAGCTGTCCTGGTAATTAGAAGAGAGGCACAAGGCAACAATATCTCTTTTTATTAAAGTGAATTCTTTTTATTGTAAGTAAAGTTATTTTTATTGTGATTTTGTCCATGAGGGTTTTGCTCTGTTCCATTCCAGAGCCTGAATCACTGGACTGGCCTGAGCCAGGAATAGCCTAGAATAGTTGGGAAGTCATAATGTCAATTCCATTTTACATATGGGTTAGACTAGATGTCCAATGAGGTCCCTTCCAACTCTAAAATTCTCCAGTTCTGTGATTCTTAGATCATTAACTCATGGGAATTAGAGATGAGAGGAATCTTAGAGTAGTTTACATCCTCGTGGAAATGAAAGCAAAAATCTAGCTACAAAATGAGAAGCCCTTTGATCCATTTGAACAATGTACCATTCATAATAATTTTATAGACATGAGTTTGAATGGCTAGCCTCTTCATTTCTCCAGAGTTCTATGCCTCTGGTTTGAGTAATTATTTCAAGGTGAAGGGTAGTGTTTGGCTTTTGACTGTGGGAACCAGGTAACTGGGACAGGTGCTGCAATAGAACATGATCCAGTCCAAGTTTGTTCTTCTTTTTGTGAAATAAAAATAAATTAAATTCTTTATTAAAATAGTAAATGTAAATATTAATCAACTTAATTAATCAACCACTAATTATTAACTCAAGAATATCACAGAATAATGCATTTCATATTTAAAAGAAAGCAAGTTTTAAAGAAATATGGATATATGGAGTTCAATTAAACTCTGTTTAGTCTATTTCAAATTCAGATTTTTTTTTTCTCCTTGAGCCCTGATCTTAGAGTTACAAGCCTTCTAGAATTCTATTTCTCACTCAAATGCTTTAAGTTTTCAGGGAAATGGATACCACAAGACCATAGGAGTGGTTTCCAGGATTTCAGCAGAATGATAAACTATCTTTTTATGAGATAACTATCTCAAAAGAGAGATGTCATTTAATTATCTCTTCAGCATTGTGGAGAGCTCTCTGCTCCCACATGAATCCATACAATTGCCTGATGGCATAGTTTCTTTTCTTTTTTTTTCCTGAGGCAATTGGGGTTAAGTGACTTGCTCAGGGTCAGAGAGCTAATAAGTGTCAAGTGTGTGAGGCTGGATTTGAACTCAGGTCCTCCTGACTCCAATGCGGGAGCTCTATCCACTGTGTCACCTAGCTGCCCCAATGATATAGTTTCTTACCAATTTTTCAGTCTGTATATTTCCGGCAACAGAGGTCAACCATACTTGCATCTTCTTTCCATAACCACTCAATCAACAACTGAGTATTAAATGTTCACTATGCACCAAGCAATGTGCTAGGTCCTGCTGATACAAAGGCAAACATGAAACACACCCCTGCCCTTAAAGAGCTTACATTCTGAGAAAATACTTTCTTCTCCATATAGCTTTTGGCTTCCTATGACTTATTTGTGACCAGAAGGAGAAATAATCCCATAGGGTATACTGCGACTTCATGACCCTCACCATCTCATAACCACTTTTCCCATCAGTGAATTTCTACTCAATTAATTACTCTCTGCTCCATCTCCTTTTTCCTTTAAAGCTGATACAAATTTTAATTCAAATTGCATTGCTTAAGATGATCTTTTAAAAACTGTTAGGCTTTGCAAATCTGTTTTTTAATGGCAATATAATTTTTCAACATAATGAAATTAGCACTCATCTAGCTTTTAAAAATAAATTTATAAAATGCTTCCCTCCTTCTTGCTCCCCCCAATATCCTTGCCTGCTATAAGCACTCATCAAAGTGAACAATTAATAAATGAAAGTGGCTGTGGAATTCATTCTGGTTCATTTAAATTGGTCATTTAAAAATTAAGCTGAAACAACATCACTCCCTAGACCTATGCCCCAAAAAGATCAGAAAAAGATGAAAAGGGCCCCTGTAAAGCTTTTTGTAGTGGCAAAGAACTGTAAACTAAGGGGATGCCTCTTAGTTGAAGAATGGCTAAACAAATTATGGTGTATTAAGATAATGTTATAGCATTGTGCTGTAAGAAATGATGGAAGATTGTTTCAGAGAAACCTTAGAAAATTTATACAAATTGATTGATCCAGAGTCAAGTGAGAAGAAATAAGAAAATAATTTCTATTATGATAACAGCATTGTAAAGACGAACAACTTTAAGAAACTTAAGAAGGTGGATCAATGCAATAACCAATCACAGCTCCAGAGGACCAATGATGAAGAATCACCTACCTGCTGACAGAGAAGTAAGTGAATCAAAATATAAAATGAGTTGTACATTTTTTTTGCAATGGCCAATATGTGAATTTGTTTTGCTTGACTATGTATATTTATTAGAAAAGCCTTTGTTTTTCCCTTTTTTCTTAATAGGGGAGGGGTGGTGGGAGGGAGAGAAATTAAATGCTTGTTAATTGAAAATAAAATTTAAAAACTTAATCTAAAAGCCCGTATAAGAACATCCAGTGACATTGTGGGAATATGGTAACCAACAACATTTACACAATGGCCTAAGGGATGACCCTGTGCTTTTGATGTATTTCCAGAGTTTGAGGATGTGGGGAAAATTTGACAGTTTTGTCCTGCTTTTGGCCCAAGTGATGTTAAATTGAACTTCCCCAAGTTTCTAAATGCTTTGATCATAAATGATCTGTACAACTGTCTGGCAGCATGGGAAGTTGTCCAGTTCTTGGGTTAAGGTCGTTCAGTCCTTTCAGTGACACTAAGAAAGGGATTTTTGCCCAGAGCTCTGCTCAGGGCATTTTTGACCTCTTTATTCCTCAGGCTGTAAACAACAGGATTTAGCAGGGGAGTGATGACAGTGTATGTCACAGAAATCAGCTGGTCTTGATCTTTAGTATTCTCTGATTTGGGTTTGAAGTAGGCAATGGAGGCACAGCCATAGTGTATAATGACCACTGTGAGATGGGAAGCACATGTGGCAAAGGCCTTCTGTCTTCCCCCAGCTGATGCAATGCGCAGGATGGTGGAGATGATGAGAATGTAGGAGATAAAGAGAAAAGTGGCAGGTGCAGTAATGGCTAGAAGGCTGATGACCAAGGTCAGAGTATCATTAATGAATGTGTTGGCACAGGATAGATCAAGTACAGGCCGGACATCACAGAAAAAATGCTCGATAAGAGGATCACAGAAGGGCAACTGGAAGATGGTCACAGCCTGGACAAGTGACAGAGAGAAACCTGTAATACCAACTAAGGATGCCATCAAGGTGCAGCCCCTCCAGTTCATGATAACAGAGTAACGGAGAGGGTTGCAGATGGCTACATATCTATCATATCCCATCACTGCCAGCAGGAGGCAGTTAGTAATGGCAAAGCCAAGGAAGAAGAACATCTGGGTAGCACATTCTATTAAAGAGATGGAGTGGCTAAGGCCCACCAGACTAGACAGCATGCGAGGGATAATAACCAGAGAGTAGAAGGTCTCTGAAGTTGACAAGATGCTCAGGAAGAGGTACATAGGAGTGTGGAGGTGACGATCAATGCGGATGATAGTCACAATGATTACATTGCCAGCCAGAGTTAAGATGTACAGGGCCAGAAACACTACAAAGAGTATGATCTGATGCTCCTGAAAGCTTGAGAATCCCTGGAAAACAAATTCACTCACTTCTGAGTGGTTCTTTGTCTTCATTAAGTGATCTTCACGACTGAAAGATATGAAAAGTCAGTCAACATCATGGGGTGACAAATATCTCCTCTCTCCTCCCTCTATATATGCATCTTGAATAGAGCCTTCCTTTGGACACTGAATGGGGATAGGACAGAAGGGAGAGATCTAATCCTTGACCCTGGGGTTCTTCACAGTCTAATGGAAGAGAACAAATGCACACACACACCCGTGTTAAAAAGATGTAGGAACAGAAACAAAAGGAAATGAGCAAATGACAAATGACTCAGGGAAACATAGGGACATTAGTGATAGGAAGAAGGGTAATTTGGGGAAGAAGACAAAATCCTAATCTTCAGGCAACTTTCTTGTCTGATGGTACAGATGGGACATACTTTTAAGACATATAACCAGAAGTAGAGAAGCAGGGACAAAGAACCCAAGGGCATAACATTTGAAACATCGTATGGAAAGGATGCTAGAGTAAGGAATAAAAGGGAAAGTTGAGGAAAGCTATTGAGGCGAAGGGACATTTTAGTTAAATTGGTGCTATTTCCTTTGAAGATAAAACTGGATAATATATAATTGAAGATTACATTTGTATATTTAAACTTTTTGAAGTACACCCATGTATCATCCCATTTCCTCTTTGTGAAAACTCTGTGAAGCTTGGAAAGGTAAATATTTATTATATCTATCTGATAGTTGTAAAAAATGAGACAATGAAAAGTTAAATGACTTACTTAAGCTCACACAGATAATCTGTGACAGGGCCAAGTATGGAAACTAAAGTATTTGACTCTAAGCCCTCTCCTAGTTGTACTGAGCAGATTTTGATTTACCTGAAGAATTATTGTACACTTTGCAAGACACCTGCCTTTATATTAGAAAACTTCAGTATATATGTTGGGGTCCATTAAATAATCTGTCATCCCAGGTCAACAATCTCCTCAATTACCATAACACACTCTTTCGCTCCATCCACACAAGAAAGGTCACACCTTTGATCTCACCATCATCTACACCCATGACCAAGAATCCTGAAATAATGTATTTTCCATCTCTTCCTCTCATTCCCCCCCTTGACTTATTCTTCATCCTCACCATGACCTCCAGTTTTTCCACCTTCAGTTCTTTCCCATGCTCTTGCTCTGACTTCACAAGACTTCTTTCCTAAATTTGATGACATAGTTCATCAGTTCAATGTCACACTGCTTTCTAATTTGAATCTTTTGACTTCTTGCCTATCTCCTCTAATTCAAACTGCAACCCTGGGAAAATTGAAGATAAGAGGAAGGTTGTTTGTTGGGGGCAACATGACAGAAGAGACCTGAAAGAATGGAGTCTAAGGGTAAGGTAACACAATTAACCTTGCTGAGAAGTACCATGTCTTCATGAGAAATTGGAGTAAAGGAGAGAATGGGGAGTGATACTGAGGATTTTGAAAATGTAGGGAAGGGGAGCAAAGGGAGCTCATGGTGAGTGGCCTTTATTTTCCCAGTAAAAGTATGACAGGGGGTCCTCTGTTGAAAGAATGGGGGAGGAGTCCTGTAGGAGGCTTGAGGAGAGAAGTGAAAGTTTGGAACAGCTTCCACTGGGTGTGTGATGGATATTCAATCAGAGAAGAGTATAAGGACAAGTTTTTGTCACTAAAGAGCCAGGTGAGATTAGATATCATAAATTTGTAGTGTTTACCCAATCAGAATGATCATATGACTTTTTCCAATAGCATTCAATACTACATGATTAGGAGTATAGTAAGTGAATGTCAGGCATAATCCAGGGTTGACTCTTTTCCTACTGCCTATAAACATAACCTTGTCTCCATTATTCTAACCGCATCCCCAGTGCCCAACTCTCTTTACTTAATTTCAGTCAACAACAAGTATTTATTAAATAGTAATTATGTTCCAGTCACTGTGTTAAGCCCCAGGGACTCAAAAAAAGGCAAAAAAAGTTTCTGCCCTTAAAAAGCTCACCTTTAAATGGGGAAAACAACAGGCAAAAAGTGATATATCTATCTTTCTATATCTATCTATCTATCTATCTATCTATCTATCTATCTATCTATCTATCATCTATCTATCTAAGGTGTACAGAGTATAAATGGAAGTAGCATCAGAGGGAAGGCACACTTGCAGTGAGGGTTAGGGAAGGATGGGAGAAGACCAGGAAAGGCCTCTGGCAGAAAGTGGGATTTGAACAGAGTCTTGAATGAAGTCAAGAGCAGAGATGGGGAGGGAGAGCATTCCAGGGATAAGGAATAGCCAGCAAGGCACAAAGTTGGGAGTTGGCATGTCATGCACAAGAAACAGCAAGAACACCTTGTTTGTTGATGTTGCTATGATGTTGACATGTTGATGAATCATAGACCATGTTGAAGGGAATAAATTGTAAGAAGGTTGGAAAGGCAGGAAGGGGCTGGGTTGTAAAAAGCTTTAAAAGGTGAAAAGGATTTTATGTTTGATTCCGGAGGTAAGTCATTGGAGTCTGATAGGAATTGGGGGTGGGAGGGTGGAGCCAAGATGACAGAGTTAAGATGGTGGAGTAAAAGCAGTGACTTGCTTGAGCTCTTTCCCCCAACTATTCCAAATACCTGTAAAAATGGCTCTAAACAAATTCTAAAGCAGCAGAACCCACAAAACCACAGTGAAACAAATTTCCAGCCCACGACAACCTGGATGGTTGATTAGAAAGATCTATTGTGCCAGGCTAGGAGAGGAATGCATTTTGGTGTGGGTGTGCAGGCAAAACAGGCCTCAGTGAACCTGGAACAGGTCTCAGAGGACTGAATCATGGGCAGCTGTGGCGGTTTCCAGACTTCTCAACCCATAAATGCCAAAGAGAACTTAGAAGGTCAGTAATGTACTGTCCCAAGCTTTGGGGATTTTGTGCAGCTGTTTTCAGAGATACTTCTAGGGACCTGTAAATTTTCAGTTCTTCCAAGGTGGTATAATCAAGGGTGAGGTGTTTACTCCTTTCCTGGCCCGTGCTCTGGTCTATGAATGACCATAAGCACTCTTTTCTGCCTTGGAACTGTGAGGAGGATTCTCTCTCCACCGCCACTACAAGCTCCACTACGCCAGTGCTCCTCCTCACCCCAGGGTCACCACCCAGAACTATGACCCAGATCTAAGCACAGGCAAAGCAAGAGAATCCTTCCTCAGTACCACCAAAGAGATCCCTGCAATCCCCCTCTAGAAGCAGCTGCAGCTCTGGGGCTGCAGCTGGGACCAGGGCTGGGAACAAGCTTCTCTTTCACCTGGGTCACAGACTTTTCTTACTGACCTTCTAAGTTCTCTTTGGTGTTTATGGGTTGAGAAGTCTGGAAACTGCCACAGCTGCCTGTGATTCAGTCCTCTGAGGCCTGATCCAGATTCACTGAGGCCTGTTTTGCCTGCACACCCATGCCAAACTGCATTCCTCTCCCAGCCTGGCACGATAGACCTTTCTAATCAGCCATCCAGGTTTCCCCAAAGGAAAACTCCTAGGAATATTGTAGCCAATAAAGACAGATCTCCAAAGACAACAAAGACAGAGTGAAACAAATTTCCAGCCCAAGATAACCTGTAGCCAAATTCCAGTCTTTCCAGGTCAAGGAGAAAATACTGCAAGCAGTCAGAAAGAAACGATTCAAGGATTGTGGAAACACAATCGGGATAACACAAGATTTAGCAGCTTCTACATTAAGGGACCAGAGGGCATGGAGTGTGATATTCTAGAGGTCAAAGGAGATAGGATTACAACCAAGACAAGAAGGTCAGTAAGAAAAGTCTGTGATCCAGGTGAGAGAGAAGCTTGTTCCCAGCCCCAGTCCCAGCTGCAGCCCCAGAGCTGCGGCTGCTTCTAGAGCTTCCATCCCACAGACTGAGGGGGAATAGAGTGACTGATCAGAGGGGGATTTCAGGGATCTCTTTGCTGATACTGAGGAAGGATTCTCTTGCTTTGCCTGTTCTTGGATCTGGATCACGGTTCTGGATGTCTCTCAAATAAAATACAAATTTTTCTGTTTGGTATTTAAAGTCTTTTACAATCTGGTTTCAACCTACTTTGTCAGTCTTATTATATATTATATGCCTTTACACACTCAATGGTTTAGCCAAAATGTACTTTTTGCTGTTTCTCACAAATGATATACTGTTTCCTGTTTCCATGCTTTTGTCCAGGCTGTCCCCCATGCTCAGAATATGCTCCCTATTCACTTTTTCTCAAAAACCCTAACTTCCTTCAAAACTCAATTCAAATTCTACCATCTACATGAAGCCTTTCTTGATCCCTCTGCTATTTTCCCCTAGAAAATTAACACATATTGGGGCAACTAGGTGGTGCAGTGGATAGAGCGCCAGCCCTAGAGTCAGGAGGACCTGAGTTCAAATCTGGTCTTAGACCGGACACTTGACACTTACTAGCTGTGTGACCCTGGGCAAGTCACTAAACCCCAATTGCCTCACCAAAAATAAAAAATTAACACATATTTACTTTGTGTTAATATATTGTGTTTACTTATATGTATATATATGTATATTGTTTCTCCCAATAATAACAAATCAATAAACATTTATTTGAGGGAGATGAAACGCAAATAACTGTATGCAAACATGATACATACGGGATAAACTGGAAATAATAAACAGAGGGAAGGCACTTGAATGGAGCATTGGGAATTTGAAAGAAGCTGGGGAAGCTAGGAGGCAGAGATGAGGAGGGAGAACATTTCACGAATGACAGACAGCCAGGGAAACTGTCCAGAGCTGGGAGTTAGAGATATTGTTTCTGGAAGAGCAAGGAGGCCAGTTTTACTGAATGAGAGAGTAAGTGAGGAGTGTAAGGTGTAAGAAGATTGTCTAGGAAGAAGGGGCAGCTGTGAGGGACTTTGGATAGTAAGGAGTGTGTTTTATATTTGATCTGGAGGTGATAGGGAACCACTGGAGTTTGGGGTGTGTGTGTGTGTGTGTGTGTGTTGGCAGTGGGGTAGGGGTTGACATGGTCAAAACCCTATACTTTAGGAAGAT